ATCTGATTAAACATGGCAGTCATGTAAATGCAGGAAGTTAGTGTATAAAAAATGAACCTGTTGGTTTCTGGAATCGAGCTCATTTCTCAGTCTCTCCATTTCTCTCTCCATCTTCTGTTTCTCTTCCTGGACTTGACTGATGTTTCCAGAAAGCTGCAATTAAAGAGAAACAAAGACAGAGAAGACAAAAGTAATTTTTTTATGTTTTTTGTTATAACATGTAAGTGATTACACAGAGTCAACAAATTAATTACTATATGGAATCACAAGAATGGAGAACCTACAGAAACAACTGTATTTAAATTTCATTATAAGTAAATTAATTAAGCTTTGTCTTAAATTAAGAGTTTTCATATGAGAAGCAAGTATGTGTGACATCAACACACACTGTCTCAATGAGGTCAACAAATTTCTCTGTACATTTTCAACCAACAACAACACCCTGCAATAACAGACAGTCTTCACCCAGATGAGAAAACATTGAATCTCAGAGTGACTGATGTCTGTAAAACTCTGAGGAGAGTGAGTGTATGAAAGGCAGCAGGACAACATTCAAGGACGAGTCCTCAGAGAGAGTGCTGAGCAGCTAGCACACGTCCTTACAGACATCTTTAACACCTCGCTGGAGCAGAAACCATCATGTTTCAAGTCTGTCACCATAACTCCAGCGCCCAAAAAATCCACCATCATGCGTTTTGCCCTTTGCATTAACTCCCTTAATAATGAAGTCCTTGTAGAGTCCCTTCCACATCAGTCTTTGGCCAAACGGTTCCACAGAGCGATGTCCTCTGCTCGTTACCTGAACTTTACGAGAACAGTCACGTATGAATGCTGTTTGTTGGTTGATCGTCCGCCAGGAGGTGGTGAGAAAACTGACCCCTCCCACAGGTATCAGCACCCCCATTTGTATCTGGCTGCTGGTCTTCCTCAATGACAGAACTCACTCAGTGAGAGTGGGAAACAGCATCTTCAGCTCCACCTGTCTCTCCATTGTTTACTGAGCCCGCTGCTTTCTCTCTTCCGGACGATGATTGAATAAAGAATTAGAAATGTTTTGACCACTCTGAGTCGAATTTTCTCTGTTCTATCATGGGGATCAAAGAATCGGGTTTAATACAAGGCAGTTGCACAGATGACCTGGTAGCAGGCAATCAATCAATGGGTCGATCCAAAGTTAGAAAATCGGTCACAGATGTGCATGAAGTTTAAGCATCATGTCTGCTCAGTGACATATAATTGGAGATCAACATGTTCCTAAATAAAAAATTAATAAAGAACAAGGTTGCAACATTCTTCTGTCATTCTGCAGTTAAATTTAGTCCTACAGCAACTATGATGAAATTTGTGGACAAATTTCTGAGTTCATGTTTCAAATCTATGAGGCACCACCTGGGAAATAAATGAAATAAACACTTTCAAGCACGGAGAATAGAAAATAAGAATGATTGTTGCAAATAATCACAGTATCATTACAAACAGCAGATGAATCAGCCTAGAAACTTTCAATCAGTACAGCTCTGCTTATTTTCAATTAATTATATAAAATCTGATTTTCTTAATGTTTCGAGTGTTTCAATCAACAGAGAAAGAGACCTGATTAAACATGGCAGTCATGTAAATGCAGGAAGTTAGTGTATAAAAAAAATGAACCTGTTGTTTTGTGGAGTCGAGCTCATTGTTCAGTCTCTCCATCTTCTCTTTATCTCCCTGGACTTGACTGACAGTTTCACAAAGCTGCAATTAAAAAGAAACAAAAACATAGAAGACAAAGATATGTTTTTATGTTTTTGTTATAGCATTTGGGCGATTACACAGAGTCAATAAATCAGTTACTATATTGAATTAAGAGCTTGATATGATATAAATTTTAGAATGGAGAACCTGAAGAAAAAACTTTATTTGAATTTCATTATAAGTAAATTATTTGAGCTTTGTCTTAAATTAAGAGTTTTCATATAAATAAAGCAAGTATGTGTGACAACAGCACACACTGTTTCAATAAGGTCAACAAATCTCTCTGTACATTTTCAACCAACAACAACACCCTGCAATAAAAGACAGTCTTCACCCTGATGAGAAAACACTGAATCTCAGAGTGACTGATGTCTGTAAAACTCTGAGGAGAGTGAGTGTATGAAAGGCATCAGGACAACATTCAAGGACGAGTCCTCAGAGAGTGCTGAGCACAGATGGGCAATAACGCGTAATCCGATTACATTTTCAAGTAACAAGTAATGTAACAAGTTT